ACGAACCCCTTCTGTGCCCGACGACTGCAGACTTCTGGCAGCGCTGGGACTCTGACTCTACCGGCAACTTATGACTCGTTTCTTTGGCCGCTCGTCTTGAGCCTCTCGCACTGTAGTGCCAAGTGGGGAACTTTTGAAGGTTCTATAGCTTTGCTTCTTTCGCTGTTCGATTTTTGGTGGGTGATCCCGTGTAGTGAAGCGGTAGCATTAGCGCTCAATCGTTTGCTTTTCTTGTTCGGTTAGCGTTGAGTTGCCTTCCCTCTTTTTTACAATGATTCTTAAAGTTCTTTTTTTTTATGGTTGTTGAGTTGGGGTGCGTTAATCTCTGTCTCGCATGAAGTCCATAACTTGGAGCTTGGAGTGTGTTTCTATTGGTCTTGGGGTTGCCGTGCTTGGCTGAGCTTACTCCGGTATTACATTTAGTTTTGTTTATTTGTTATCCTCTCGTATCCTCACCTCCTTGCGTATCTTTTTTTCACCTAGCGTGGCCCGATCGTTAGTCACCGGTACAGCCTAGCTCTTCTGTTCTCTTGAAGTCATTTTTTCGTTCAACATCAAAATCGTTTGATACTGTTTTTTTTTTTAATCATTAATATTTGACCCCTACTCTGGTACAGGCACCTTGGGGAACTTTCAATATTTTTGGATGAGGACAAAAATAAAACGTCACGCAATCAGGCCTCGATACCTCTGAATTTCGCCACTTTCTTCATTGCTGGTTCTCGGATAACACAAAGCGACCAAAAAAAGTGAACTGTTCTTTACGAAAATATACTATAATGTCCAAAAATAAGACCTGTATGTTTAACGGTCACATATCTTAGCAGGTCACCCGCGACATTTTTACAACCTAATTTTAGGGTTTTAAAAAGAAGGTTGTTTGCAGTTCTAGTCGCCCGTGTAAAAAATCCCGCCGTAAAAAAATATGATGCCTCTCGATTACATCAACGCACACCCGGATGCAAAGCTCACGCAAATCATGAACCAGGCACGAACGTTGTGGGACACCCTGGCGGCTCCCCAGCCCAGTTGCCCGCCTACGGGCCCACAGGTGGGAAACATTCCCACGTGGCGGCGGAATCGAGATGGCCGCACGCAAATCGCGAGCGCCGCCTTGATAAGACGGTTCAGAGGCGGCGCACTAGGAGTCGTTGCCCGGATTCACTGCCGTTAACGATGTTCGTGTATTCTATCGCCTCGTCCTTGTCCAATTCATTGTAGTTTCTTGTTGTTGAAACCGTTGGACCCGTGTTATTCTTCCGGGTCGTGTACGCAGCAAGGCCAACCGACCACAACGTTTTGGAACCAGCGGCTTACCGCTGGCGAGAGAACCACTATTCCTTTTGTTTTCAATTTATCACATTTTGGAATACCGATATACACTAATAAGTAAAAGCTGGAAGAATACTCTAGGATGCCAATGAAAATGTCGACAAAGCAGAAGGAGATAAACCTCGCCGAATTCACTACTGCCAAAGAAGTAGTTAAGGCAGGAAATTGCGTCCGCTGTGTCTCGAGACTTCGAATAAAATAATGTAAGATTCAACGACCGATAGACCTAGTTTCCGCGTACTCTCTCATTTATATTTTAGTTTCCGTTATAAGTACTTTTTTTTTTTGCTCGAAATTCAGAAAATATAAAAGTGAGGAAAGTACACAGCTTGAAAATGAGCGCATGAGTGTTGAAGCCACAGATTCAAAACGCTAAGGAGTTCACTCTTAATAATACGAACTTATACAAACAAAACAAAAACTACAGATTTATCAAAATAACAATACACCACGAAATACCAATACCTCCGAAATAACCTCATCATATACAAAACCCAGATTACAATGAATTCCCGTAACAATTACTGAACAACGCCCACCTACTGTGTCACAGAACCCGGCTGTTCCAGAAACCGGCAGGAGCCGTGCTGACGTCTGCGGAAGAATAATGGCCAGAAAAGTAAACGACCGCATTCGGTGGATGAGCTCGCGACCAGGCGCGTGTCAGGTTACGCAGGGAGCGCTTCGTTGAAGCGACCGCATATTCGGTGTTCTGTTGGTATACACAGCCCCAGATTTACGAGGCGAGCTGGCGGCTCGCTGTTGGAATGTGTTTTACTTCAGCATTCCAATTGCCTGGCAGGTCTTAGTGTTTCAAAGAACCCTGCTTTAGGGTCAGGGGTCAGACCGAGGGGGCAACAACCTACCGTTGGAACAGACAGAGTGCGGGAACCGCGGGTAGCCAGGACTGGCAGTGCGAGAGAGAGCTCTAAGGCGGACGGACGCATTGTGACGTCGAGGGATGCGGCGAGACCCTGTTGACTGCCCTACGCCAGGCACCGGACGAAGCTTCCAGTGAGTTTGGGACCGTAAAAAAGTGGGCGTGCGAGGCCAGTGAGCCGCGCCCACGGTGTGCCAATGCACCCGCCGGAACTTTTCCACCTCGGACGGACCGCGAAGGGAGACGCCAGCACCTCTACGCCAGATGAGACTTTTTCTTTGCACTCACCTATTCTTCTATTTTAGTTTACCATTTGGACTCTCTTAAATGTAGTATTTTTCTAGAACTGTCTAGGCAACCCCGAGCATGAAGTTGTAAACCGTTATACTGTGCGTACCTGTGCTATCCGCCGTTTGGTTTCTACGTGATGTTTTGCATGATACATAGCGCCTAATTCTCTACTATACCCCTGTCAAATTAAACTTCATTTATATATCCGATACACGCCTCCGTCTCTCTTCATTGGTAAGACTCTCCACCAGAACGTGGCCCTATCGCTCGGTCAGCGGTCCCCTTCTTTGACATCGTCACTCGGGAGGACTACCACCTTCCTTTGACATACTGATTCATTGACGTTGAAAATAAATCCAGGCTTTATCTGTTTTTTGGTACAAATAAATTTTCAGACGTTTATTTTACTTAACTCAACCATTTATCTATCACTATATTTCCTATAGATTTCGCTATTATCGACCAAGCTTAAAAATACAACTGAACTCTCGAAAGGTAATTCCTAATGTGTTTCCTTTATTCCAGAGTTCAATAGAAATCATTTTTTTCCGTTCCGTCCGCCTCTGTCTTGGGATAGCATTCATATGAACAAAGTTTAGTTTTACCCGGAAACATCCATCGTTATTTAAAAACCAGCATATATGTAAGAGATCAGTTGAGGGCGGGTCCTTTGGCCAGCTGGATTTTTAAAGCCGGAGGTTGCTCACGAGAACTGCGGCAAGAGTTGCCCAAATAAACTCGGACGTCCGAGGTTACTCTTTTCTTCTTCCCACTAGATGTGCTGGCTTGCTCAATGTCCTCTATGACAAAAAAGTTACTGATATCATTTGTTATTTTCCTGACCCTTATCGACCAGCTATGACCTATAGAAGGGGGGAGGAGGTGCCGAGCTCTCAGTCATGGGCGCGGGATGTCAGGTATGTAGGAAAAGCCAAAGCCGGCAGTGACTTCGCGGTTTCTGATGGCCCTATTCCTGTGTGTGGGATGGTAAGACTGTGTTATGATCCGCCAGTCGATTGTGTTGACGACTTGGAGTGAATTTGGTTCAGCGGAACTGCATTGTCCAAAAGCGAACGCCCGACTCTCTTCAAAAGGTACCTACCACGACTCCTTCAGAGGGTACATACCACCACTCATGGCCGTTTATTTTTTTTTCCTTACAAATGGGTAATAGATTTATCGTAGATCATTGCGGCTCTCCCGCAACGTACTCCACAACCCGCTATGAAATCCGGGACTTTGCAGGCAAAGATAGCGTTGCGCAAGCGCAGTAGTGGCGTCTTCATTCTGGATAGCGTAGCGGAGGCGGCAAAACAGTCTACGAATAGTCCTTAATTACCGTGAGCCCAGAGCCCTGGTCCGAAGGCCGGCTACAACGAACAGGCGTGTTTTTTTACGGTCCTCAAATGAGAAGTTGTCTTTGCCTATGACCGCAGCTCGATGTGGTGGCTGAGATCCTACCCTTCCTGCAGCGCTTTAACTCCTCCTAAGGACGTACCCCAGGCTTCTCAATATTGGCCGCCAGGTTTTTGCCTTTGATAATTCTTCGACGCACGCGCAGCCAAAGCATGTCGGTCTCAACACTATTATCGCCCTACTGCGCAGGCTGAATTACTCATCTAAAGAGGACACGTCAGACGACCAGCTTTTCAAACACTTCTATTTTCGCATGCGAGTGTTGAATTTAGCCTACTGGTAGCTTAGCATCAACACGTATTTTCAAATATGCCCACTGACGAACTGTTATGCAAATTTACTTAAACCCTTACCTGTATAAAAACTAAACAAGACTCCCAAATCACCTTTTTATGATAAGTGCACCCCCGACACTCAAAACCGTAATTTTCAGTACAGCTATATATATAAAAAACTGGGCCTGTTTTGTTTTTCTCTTTGCGTTACATTTTTTATGTGGGAAGCTATATTTAAGATAGCTGCCATTAAAACTGTATCCCCCCCCCCCCCCCGGACTTGGAATGGATTTACGCCCCCGGAATAAATGTCGATGAAGAAAGACAATTACGGAAACATTCGGAAACATGCACTAACTACGGTTTGTTTGTTTGGGAATCATTGGAACGAGTCAAGCCTGCAGTTACTGCAAGGTTTCCAATTTTTATTTCAACATCGGCTTTCCACTGGACGAAATAACTAATGTCCGACTGTGCTTACTCAAATTATACCTCAGCACTAAGCGACATGGTAATACCTTTTGTATTTTTGTTGCCAAACACCCAGCGTGACAGATACTGCATAAATCTTGTCAATACGCTCCAGCAATAATATGAAGAAACTAAGTCAAATCGGGCACTTTAAAAAATGTATGCATTCTTTGGTATGAGTTTATATAGTGAGGTTACTTTACGGTGATCGGCAAGTGACCAACTAAAATATCACAAAATATATAAAACTGCTGTTAATAACAATGTCATTCTGCACCTGAGTAGTTTCCAGGCATCTATTTCAATTATGTAAACTGATTAATTCATCACATTACCAATGTGGTCATTTCCATCGTGAGCTGAGGCTTCAACCTCAAATATCTTGTGCGCCATAGGCCCTTCTTGGGCTAGAACCAAGAGATGAAGAGGGACTATCCTCAGCGTGTCGCTCAAGATGCCTCTCTAAGAGAAAGAAAAAGATTACAAGACTGCCATCTTTCATTTCATTTCATTTATTTATCCCTTAAATGCCCACATGGGGCTTTACATAAGGGGGGCGGGCAGTATTTCTAAGGTTTAAGTACACGGTACAAACAAGAAAAACAAACAAAAGATAGCAAAAACGTCAGTTACGAGCCGTAAAAGGTGGCAAGTGCTTCTCTAAGTTTTGAAGTTTCCGATATGGTTACTATTGAATCTGGCAGTTTATTCCAATTGGTAACGGAAAGCTGCAGTGGTGAAAATTTAAAGGTATTGGTCCTGGGAGTGGATAAAAATAGTTTGCAGGATTTATCTAAGCAACGGGGGATATGAGGAGCCGGTATACAGTACAAAGCTTTCTGGAAAGGAAGATGGTAGTAAAATTTATGAAGAATATTTAAGGCGGATATCGTCCTACGCGTTTTGAAAGAGGGAAGACCAAGTTGAGCTTTAAGAGTGGTGATACTAGTAGGGAAGGTATAATTTCGATGAATAAACCGTGCTGCGCGGTTTTGGACTGCTTCTAACGTATCTTCTAAAAATAACTGATGGAGATTCCAGACAGATGAGGCGTACTTTAACTGGGTACGCCTGTTTATTTGATTATATGCATTATGTCTAACACAACATAATTACCTAAACTACACTTGCTATAAAAGCAAATATTCAATTGAGAGCTTATTTCTGAATTCGTACAGCAATCTTAAAATAATAACAGTAATAGTAATAATAATAATAATGATTTTATTTTTCGGATGCGACGAAGTATGATTCGAGTCTGCCGAGGCCAGAACTGGCTTGTGTGGCTAAACCACCAGTATTAAAGTTATAAATCAATTAATTTAAACATTGTGAAGAGCTCATTAGCAAATAAAACACACACACACACGTTTTAAGAAAAAATAACATTGAAGCATTGGTAAAATTAGTGTCCAGAGTTGTTGGTATGTGGATAGTCACATTATATGAAGAACACATACACAGACATCAAAATATTAAAAATAAATTGAACACAGGTCATGTCAAGTTGCCACAGTACTTGGGTTGTAATAAAGATCATATCACTGGCCTAAGGAAAAAAATCTTTAGACCACAGATTAAGGCGTCCAGAAGATGAATCTGGTTCGTGCACGCACACTTGATTTAAAATATGTCTCGTAGGGCTTGTTTCAACTTTTTTTTCCAAACCAGGTCTAACACTCTTTCAGGGATACTGTTGAAAATGTCCGGTACATAAAATATTCGTTGTCTTCTGCCATACCTCGTTGACATTCTCGGCACCTCAAAACGAGTGGTATGTCTGAGTTCCCGAGGTGCAATGTGGGGAACTTTAAATATGTCATCACAAAAGTATCTTAAAAAAAACAACCGTCTGAGTAAACAGAGCATGACATAATGGAACATTAACATGATGAATTTTTTGTTGTTTAGTTTCGGTATCAGTGCCGCATATAATACTTCTAAACATTCCACTCAAAACATTGTCAATTTTCTTTTGCCATAACGTAGAACAGCCACCATAAATGGTTATTCCTTAGCGAAGAACAATGTGTGCCAAAGCATTAATAACCATCTTTTTAACATATTGTGGAACAAGTGATCTCATATTATAAAGTAGACAGGAAACACGTCTAACTTTTTTTACATACAGTTCCCATATGCGCATTCCATGAAAGATCACTATCGAATTTAATACCTAGATATTTCACATGGTCCACATAACCCACTGGAGTGCATTTACACAAGGGACAAACTGATGAATGTAAAAATAGTGGCGTATCTGGGATAACAACGTTTAACGAATTCCGGAAACACACCAGGCGTGTTTTTGTGTTCTTAATTTTTAAGTTATTTTGCTGAAACCATTCAATCAAATGTGTGGTTTCACGTTGGAGAAGAAAAATTGATTTTTCGTATTCTATATGGCGTGACAAGAGTACAGTATCGTCAGCATACTGATATAGTTTGCAGCTAACTATTGAATTTGACATATCATTGAAAAATGCATTAAAAAGTAACGGAGACAAGATAGATCCCTGTGGAACTCCGGATTTCAAGGCGAGCTTTGAACTTCTTTTGGGACCTAAGTGAACTCGTTGAGATCGTCCAATCAAATATTTTTTAGTAGCTCCAGAAATGGACCGCGGAAGCCAATATGATAAAGCTTTTGGAATAGAATGCTGTGGTTAACACTGTCGAATGCCTTTGAAACATTCACAAAAAGGGCACATACAACTTAATTTTTTTTTAATGCGTAATGTAATTCATCTGCAAAATCTTCAAGTAATGGCTGTCTACCCCGCCCGTTGACAAAACCATATTGATTATTGGATATGATTTCGAACTTTTCAAGAAACTGACTCATTACTTGGAATTAATGCTTCTCTAACATTTGACTTATAGAAGACAAAATCGAGATGGGACTATAATTTTCGACCTTACGACGATCTCCTCCTTTATGAAGAAGCTTAACTTTTGAATTTTTTAGGTTATTAGGGATTTTTCTTTGTGCAATGAAACCATTTAACATACGCAGAAGGACATGTTTAATTGCATCAAAATTGCGAATGAGGTCATTTTCTCAGATATTATCAACTCCAGGAGATTTTCTAGTTTTAAAACTGAACAGCAAACTGTTCAGATAATATTAATATTCTTATATCTCAGGTAGGGAAGCTGACGCATGTTCGAATTCCTCGAGTGAATTGAATAGGCAACATCATTCTGCGGAACGCCCGAAAACTGTGCAAAAGTTGCGTTAAATTTGTCAGCAACTGAGCATGTAATTGGGCCAAATGCTTTTTCAAGCTCCTCATCCACTGAATTTAAAGGCTTCTTTCCGCGGAGTTGGTTGAGTAGAGGCGTTTTTCCTGCATTGGACCTCGCACGATAAAATTCATTTTGAAAGTGTCTCCTTTTGGTGGCCCGGAGGAGCGCATTTGCACGATTACGTGCGCAACGATATTCTGCTTTCAGTTGTGCATTTTGGGGAGAACGCCTGCATTTTCTCCACAAAGTATCCTTATCTTGAATGGCTCGTAGAATATCTGCATTCAACCAAACATGCTCCTCGCGGCGTTGTCGGGTTGTAAGAACTTTTTGAAATCTTCAATAAAAGAATTCCAACTTTAATGAAAATTAGAGAAGACTTCGTCGTAGTTTACGTTCCGTAACAACTCTAGCCACTGGTAAGCTGAAACCAGTTTTTCACTTTTTTTTATCTACAATCTCGACCTGCTTTATTTTAGGACTTGTTTGTTTGATTTACGCCTCTCGAATTACTTGACACGCTGTGAAATAATGATCCGCCAGTTTTTGCAATATTACTGCTGACGTAATAATACAAGATGACGCATGCAAATGAAGGTGTCGTCCCAATCCGGCTGACGCCTCAATTCGGCTATTGCCTCAATTCGGCTAGAAGTTTCAATTCGGCTGGACGTTCCAGTTCGGCTACATCCTCAATTCGGCTAGAAGTTTCAATTCGGCTGGACGCTTCAGTTTGGCTAAATCTTCAGTTCGGCTACAAGTTTCAATTCGGCTGCATGCTTCAGTTCGGCTAGATCCTTGCTTCAATTCGGCTGGACGTTCCAAGTTGATCAAGCTAGGCATCCAAGCATAAGGTGCCCCCAATTTTTTTAGAGAGACGTTAACTATATCTCCATCTTGCCTTAACATTTCAACGTGCAAGCTGAGATCAATAAGTTCAAGCAGCTACGAAGGCTTTGGGCACAGAAACATTTGTGTTTGTGTTGTTTGTTCTGTGAAGCTGCTGTGCAAACACCAGGTCTCTGCTTCAAAGAAATTTATTCACTTGCCCAAAGAATGGATTACAGCAGACCAAAGATTGCTTCTTCCAGTGCTGGCCACTGCTCACGTGAAAGGGACAGGACTCCTTGGCAGCTCCTACGTCGAACTGAGTTAAAGAAAAAAAGAAGATACCTGCATCAGTTATGAGACAAAACAATATGGTAGGGGCTCAATCCAGTGATTTACATCTTCAGGAGGCTAAGGAGAATGTAACAGTATACCTGTAATTTTTTTTCAAGGTCACAAATTTGCCTCAAAATTGGCTAAACACACCAGTAGCTATGACTGACCTCGTAACCAAAACCTTACGTCCGCAAAAAATTGTTTGGCGACATTGAATTTTTAAATTCGGTCCTCATCTTATTTTCAAAGTGAAAGTTTCTACTGGCAGTATTAAAAATATGGAGGCTCGGGCAAGCTGGTGTTGCATACTCCTCTACAGCGCGAAAAATTCGCAACCAAGCACAAGCACACACAAACGGAAAAGACATTCATGAAGCTCTGACTTGCAACTCAGTCTTGTATTATTTCTTCTCTGCCTGCGCCTGTCTTTTTAAACAATAAGATTTTTTTTTGTTATTTTTGGTTTTATCTGGATGCAAGATAATCTAATTCTTTTTTGTAATAAATCTGGACAAGGTTTAGTGACAGTTTTCTTCTAACCTCGAAATCTTTTCAGCTTCAATAACTTCCCTAATTAGTTGGTTATTATTTTTACTTATTACGGGGCAATGTTTTTAGTTCTGCTTGACATCTGCAATCTTGGTAATGTATGCCTTAGTGTCCAGAAGTGATTCTGTTTATGTTGTAGTCGTGTTCCCCTTGTCTATGTGACATCAGTATTTGTGACGTCGGGGTGGGGAGGGGTTGGGTTTTGGCAGTAGAACTTGTTTCCAACTGATTAGAAGAATTTCGATGGCAACAAATAAAGCCTGCGGAACCCCAACAATAGCTCAGCAGCACGAAAGAAATATGTTCCATTCTGTTCTCTGATGTCGTTGTGCTAGCCATGCTCCAAACAAGAGTTTCGAACAAACCATTTGGGCTTCGTAACGTGAAGCGGGGTACAGTTTCTATCATGAAGGAAGCCATTAGCCCGCAGATTTTGTGGGACGAGCGAAGGCGGCGGAACTTTCTAGATTTCAAACTTCACCCCGCACAGCCATGCAGCG